ATGATTTTTTTTTATTAGTTGTTATTGGCTTTGAACTAGCTGTCAGTAACTGCGAGTACTCTCAGATCTTTACTTAGTGTATTTTTTGTTGTTAGGTATGAGAGATTCCACGTCCTGTCTGTATTATTGTTTGATGTTTTTCTTTGTATCAATCTGATGATTTAAGCCTTTTTCAACTGATTTTGATAGTTTGTTCTTATGTTGTACTGTTATATCACTGTCCCTGGTTAGGTGGAGGGTTGAACGCTCACACACATGTTTAGCCCTGCAACATTATGTATGTGCCTGTCCCAAGTCAGCAGCCTGTAGTTCAGTGGTTGTCGTCGGTTCATGTCTGTCATATTTGTTTTTCGTAACTTGTTTTGTTATGAATTAGGCCGTTAGTTTTCTCGATTGAAATGTTTCATATTTTTCATGTCGGGGCCTTGTATAGCCGACTATACGTTATGAGTTTTTCTCATTGTTGAAGGCCGTACGGTTGCCTATAATTGCTTACATCCACTTCATTTGAACTTTGGTGGATAGTTGTCTCATTGGCAATCATACCACATCTCCTTATTTTTATATATATAAGTAAATAGTATCGACAGGATGTAGGACAATGAGTTCTCACAACCGTACATATATAAAAAATAAAATCAATGTTAGTACCAATAAAACATTATTTTAAGATTTAACTACTGTGTTAAATTGATAACCTTTAAGAATAAGTTTATTCAAAGGATCAATTAGTTTACATGGATCGTATCTGAATTTACGGGATTTAATAACAACATCACCGTAAAACTTCAGATGTGATATCCCGTTTTTGATAAGAACAGGTACAGCAAAACTTCCTAACCAAATCTTTATATCTTTGAAGAATTTGGTACCGGTTTTAATAAATATGTGGTAACGAAATCCCTGGCTTAATAATTTATCAGTTAAACATAAATTACGTTCATTGAAATATAAAACGCGACTACAGAACACAGGTGTTGTGAAATATAAACAAGATAAGAAGGGGCAAAAGGAACCTCTCCGTTCAAAATCGGAAAGTTAACAATCAGGAACGAAAAATCGTTTCTTTTGTCATAAAGTTTTGTATACAGTTTCCCGTGTGAAAATGAAATAATATCTAAATCTAGAAAAGGACAATTATTGCTGTCTGTATTAGATTTATTTAAAGTAAGTTCCTTTAGGCAAAATATCATCAATGTACATTACTGAGTTTGGCATACTGTGGTTGTTAACAATATATAAACTATTGTAAACATAATTCACGTTAATAGAAATAAGAAGATGTGGTATGAGTGCCAATGAGACAACTCTCCATCCAAGTCACAATGTGTAAAAAGTGTAAAAAGTAAACAATTATAGGTCAAAGTACGGCCTTCAACACGGAGCCTTTGCTCACACCAAACAGGAAGCTATAAAGGGCCCCAAAATGACTAGTGTAAAACAATTCAAACAGGAAAAACCAACAGTCTAATCTTTATAAAAAACGAGAAACGAGAAACACTTAAGAACCACATCAACAAACGACAACCACTGAAACAGGTTCCTGACTTAGGATAGGTGCAAACAAATGCAGCGGATTTAAATGTTTTAACAGGCGCCAACTAATACATATACCGATAAATATGATATTCAAAGATCTTATTTCGATGTTTAATTGATATCCTTTAAGAATATATTTATCCAAAGGTCCAATAAGTTTACATTGATCGTATCTAACTTTTTAGATTTATAAACTACATCACCGTACAAATCAGTCTTTTTATGGGATGTACCCCTATTGAATATAAAACAAAGGATAACACAGAACTTGATCTTCACTCTAAATGATGGCATTTGACGGTTAAGATTGAAAATTACCAACACCATTTTCACCGTTCATTGTTCTATGTGTTTTCGTCGTTTTTTTTGAAACAAATGTTTTCCCTAGACCATTGCCTAAATGCAAAAATACTTATTTTGATCTAAACATTATCTGTGTCATGTGAGAAAAAGAAAAATGACAGTTTTACAGATTCTTTTTAGTGAATAGTTATTTGCATACACCAGAAAGAAACCCGTTTACAATGAAATAATTCAAAAGCCGATTGAAAATAAAAATAAAAGGCAAGTTGTTGTCTCATTGACGTATACACCACAAGTTCTATTATTTCATAAAAAAAACCCTTAGAATTATTTAGAATTATTGCAAACAATACAATTTTTAATTGACTTAAAATATCGGGTAAAGTGACTTGTTTCCATTTTTAACGTATAAACAAGTTGGAGCATTCAAATCTTTTGTATTACATACGATCTTCTCTTTGTTCATCTTCTTTTTATTACATAATAAGTTTGAAAAGAGTTCACTTGCATGTGGTATTAGAATAGCTCGTAAATTTCAATAGCAATGACACATATCTTGTGTAAATATGTGTTATTTTGAAACTAAATTTGTAGCAAAAAGTAAAATAACAAAAATACCGAACTCCAAGGAAAATTCAAAACGGAAAGTCCTCTATCAAATGGCAATATCAAAAGCTCAAACACATCAAACGAATGGAAAACAACTGTCATTTGTACATGTAAAAATAAGGAGATGTAGTATGATTGCCAATGAGACAACTGTCCACCAAAGTTCAAATGAAGTGGATGTAAGCAACTACAGTTGAGATCACTTCTAACCTCTCATTAGAACTGTCAGAATAATCTGTCATAGAACTGTTGTAAACTGTCCTAGAACAGTTCTACCTAGAACAGGTCTACCCTAGTTCTAGGTAGAACTGACCAAATCAGTTCTCTAGGTAGAACTGTCAGGATCAGTTCTAGGGTAGAACTGTCCAAATCAGTTCTAGTCGTAGAACTGTCAGCAGAACTGACTAAATCAGTTTTAACCGTAGAACTGTCAGCAGAACTGTCTAAAACTGTTCTAGCGGTAGAACTGACCAAATCTGTCAGGATTGTAGAACACTTCTAAATGACGTCACTGCAGTTACGGCATCTCACTGGTCACCATTCAGTGTTATTATTATCGTTGACCTCGATCAAAACGGTAACAAGCTTATTGTCGAAAAGCATGTTCCATCCACAAAAAAACGTATCACTCCTTTCCCGTCAGAATATCGCCAGTCGTTCATTATAAACTCTAAATGATGAAGTTTGGTATTTTCTTTACCTGTAAGTACAAATATGTCATAAAATTATTTGTTTTGCCACTCTCCTCCATCGACATCCATCGTAACAAAATTTCCGCTATAAAAGCGACCGAGGAAACGGTTATGGACATTTTCCGTAACGAGAAATGTTAAAACAGTGCTGTGATGAGAATTTTTTAATATATATTATATTCTTTTGACTTATTTACATTTAAGACAAAGAGTTCTTAAAACTGTTCTATGGATAGAACTGACTAAATCAATTCTAGCCGTAGAAATGACCAAATAAGTTCTAATCGTAGAACTGTTCTAGTCGTAGAACTGTTCTAGCCGTAGAACTGTTCTAATCGTAGAACTGACCAAAGATTTGGTCATTTCTAGGTAGAACTGTCTAAAACTGTTCAAGGGTAGAACTGTCAGGATCAGTTCTAGGTAGAACTGTCTAAATCAGTTCTAGGTAGAACTGACCAAATCAGACATGAAAAATATAAAACAATTCAATCGAGAAAACTAACGGCCTAATTTATAACAAAACAATTTACGAAAAACAAATATGACAGACATGAACCAACGACAACCACTGAACTACAGGCTGCTGACTTGGGACAGGCACATAAAGAATGTGGCGGGGTTAAACATGTTTGTGGTCGCTCAACCCTCCCCATAACCTGGGACAGTGGTGTAACAGTACAACATAAGAACAAACTATCAAAATCAGTTGAAAAAGGTTGAACTCATCAGATGGATACAAATAGAAATACATCTAACAAAAACACAGAGCGGACGTGGACGGGTACTTATACATCCCCACAACAAAAAGAAACTAAGTACAGATCTGAGAGTACTCGCAGTTACTGACAGCTAGTTCAAAGCCAATAACAAGTAATAAAACATTTATTAAATCAACCACCAAGAAGAGTATTGAAGAAAAAACATCTGTGTACAATTTAAAAAAAAAAAATTGAAAAAAAAAAGAAATGAAACCCTTAAAAATGTCTTTGTACTGTCCTCTCAGTTTTTTTCTTATGCTCATAGTCAAATCGGTATTGTAACTTAGACATTCGAAATGACATTTATATAAATTTTAATTTCGTTTGCTGGGTTTTTTTTTGTGTAAATACTTTTATTTATTTATTTTTTGTACCGAATTTCGGCTGCATATATACAAATGTGAAAAATTTAAAATTTCGATGCGATTAATTTTGGTTTAACAATAAACTTTTTATGTTCATATCGTTTTAATTCTTGGAATTGTTTCATGTAAAAACATTTTGTTTAAGGTATTTATCAAAAACTTGAATTAATGTGTACAACAAATCTATATTTAATTCTCTGAAAGTTAACTTATAACATATATTACATGCTTCAATAATATAATATGTCGTTTAGCTAGCTATAAAACCAGGTGTAACACACCAGTTTCTTCGGAAAATATATGTACCAAGTCAGAAATATGACAGTTGTTTTCCTTCTTTCCGTTTGTTGACAAAGTCTAACATTTGATTTTGTCAGTTTTATTAACTTCCCCTTTTTAAATTTACCTTGGAGTTCGTATTTTTTGTTATACTTTTCATTATGTATCATTTTAGTGACATAAGAAGCTTAGGATTTATTTAATGAATAAATATCTCAAAATTTCGAACCCAGCAGTATGTGAAGCACACAAAGAAATGTAATTCATACAAAGAAGAACATACAACTTTGAACTTTAAGTGTAAGATAGGTATCGTGTAACGCGTATACATTATGATATTTTTGTAACTGTCAGCGTGATATGCATTTTGATGTAAACGTTTGATGTTAACGACCATAACTTATACCCGTATTGGTTCTAAGTTACACCCACAACAAAAAAGAATATCATCAAACCGACATAAGTTATAAATAGAAAATGATAAGTTAATTCATCGTAATGATTGACATTTAATATGAATAGAAGGATTGTTGTTATGGCGAATATGAGGATGTTACTTTAAAAAGAGATTATGAAATTGTATACATTTTGTACTTTTTATAAAGTAAGAGGACAGTCAGGTTGTGTTGAACTTTCAAAAGTGTCATAACATTCATGATGTCTACTTTCTGGCTAATTCTGGTTATAGGGTGTTTACTTGGTGAACTATTTTCATTCAGAGTATGTATATGTTTTATGTATTAAGACAACAGTATGCATATATATATATATATATGTATTAGTGTGCGTTGTGTTGTGTACATATATGTTGTGATTTTAACAAAAATTGTAATTTTTACATAATTGTTGTACAAGTTATATTATCCGTATTTTGCAAACATCTGAACATAATTAGATGAAACAGGCACAGTCTTTGTTTTTCCTCTTCGCTAACAAATTTGCTTGATTATATGAAATAGCCTTCCACATAGCACTGATACAAAGTTTTCATAAGGATGTTTATAAAAAAATTTTGAAACTAAGAGCCTTGATGATGATGATGATGATGATGATGATGATGATGATGATTTTTTGACCCGGTCGAGGATCAAACCGACGACCTCCCTCAATCGAGGCGAGTACCCTACCATGAGACCACTGGAGCGGTAACCTGGTGAAAGACAGCGATGTCAATATAATGATAAGTGTACAAAACGATAAAAGCGCTGTTCTTTGCTTTTGGTTGTTTCAGATAAGTAGTAACGTTGTGTCATGAATATATCTTTTCCATCATTTTAGATAGATCGTCAATATTTCAAATGAATTAACTAGTTTTCTTCAAAATACATTTTTTTTCAATATGAAAACGTTTGAACTTCAGAAGTATGTTTGCAAAATAATATTCTGGTAAGGGAAGGTCATAGATATTATAAAACATTTGAAAATCCTGTATATGATTTGAAAAGGGAATAAAATTGAGAAGGGTATCTTTTGGATGAATTAAAGTAAACATAACATGTATTAAGTTACAAATGTAAATTAGATGGTGCCATGAGAAACATTCAATTCACAGAGCAAATAATCAGTTATTATAGTACTTTATATTCAGTTATAAGTGACATCATATTCAGTTGTTGATTATTGTTAGTGTGTGTGCAAAATATGTAATACATTTATCATGTAAACAGTGTTTTGTCTTGTACCTCAGTCCTTTAAGAATAAGGAAACCCTACACCGCTCTGGGTTCATTTATATTAAACTCGAAGCATGTAGATTTTACATACAGTAGCATGATTCAGTTGCAATTTAAATATTTGTAAAACAAGAAAAGTTGATAGAGTAATTGCACATAATCGGTAGTTATTGTTAAAATATACACAGATGTAGGTTTTTCCCGTCATGCACATCACGTTTTACGACCTATTTGGTTAGCCAAAATACATTATTTAAAAAGTTTGTTTTCTTTATAATTCATTACAAAGGATTACCTAACCATCCTTCACGCGTCAGTCACCAACTTTTTAGATATAATTAATAAAAAAAAAAAACGATTAAGAATGACTGTAAATTGATATCCAAGTATATATGGAAATACCGTACAAATAACGACTGACAACAACCATAGTTTACACAAGAATTAGGTGATCAAGTGATCACAGATATCCCGCTTGCAGAAAAACTCTTTAACGGTAACTTCCAAAACCAAAATTTAAATTGAATATGAACGTATTTTATGTTTTATAAAAATTTATTAAAATCTTAAAAATGTTTCACTAAATGGTGCTTTCGTCATTAACTGAAAACATAAAAAAAAAAGCAACATCAAAACAATCCAGATTTAAAGATAACTTAGCGGAATTACTTTTTAACGGTAACTGTCAAAATCGTCAAAATCCAACTCGACTGTATGGAAAGCCAACGGGGTCAAAATTCTTAATTCGTAAATTGTCAATTTGTAACTTGTAGCTGTGTAATTTCAAATGCTTAATTCGTAAATTGTTAATTTGTAACTTGTAACTGTGTAATTTGTACATTTGTGATATGTATATTTGTAATTCTTGAATCGTGTTTTGTCAATTCAACATTTGTATATTGATCATTAGGTGGTAAATTTGTGATATGTTTATTTGTAATTTGTAAATTGCTAAATTGTACATTTGTATTTTGTAAATTTGTAGATGTCAATTAGCATCTTTGCTTTTATGTTATTTGTAAAAGCGTAGTATACTTGTAAATCGACACTTTTCTAACTCGATGATTGCAAAGTGGGTGATTTGTTCATTCGACATTTGTACATTCATTTTATGCTACATTTCGTATTATGATAACAGATGGCGCCGCTGTCGGACTTTCGGTATCTTTCGGGAGGTTACCAGTTTTGAAGTATAGATAACGTGGATGAAGATAGGTAAATTATTTTACAAGTGTACCCAATAATATTGAAGTATACAAACCGTTTACGCTTTATGTCAGGGTTATTGTCGTTATGTATAGAAAATGAATAAACCTGATACTGTTCTTAAATGGAAATAGTGACCACTGACCAGAAACTGAGAAACAAGAGGGGACACCTCAATTTTCATCACAGGACGAGGAGATCTACAGTACTGTGATATTAGTATTTAGATTTTTACATACATTTATTGATAGGATTTCAGCGTCCTGTGGCACAGATACAAACCCCCTTACTTCAGGGTAGCCAAAAAATCACAGTGTATCCAACCCCCCCCCCCCTTTTTTTATTTGTCATTGCAAATGCTGATAGAAAATGTTCTTTTACAGATGAGAGGAAATTTTTGTAGTTTTAACAGACAGGAACAAATTTTGTACACTGCAGTTTTATTGGGTCTTTTCACTACCTGGTTGATTGTTCAAAAATAAAAATCAACTATGTTGTTGCAGTGCTCTGGCTCAGTTTCACTGCATTTATCACAAACACCCTCTGAACTAAGTAATTGTGCACCCCAACGTTATATGGTGATTAATAAAATGAAATGCAATATATATTGAATACAACAAATTTTCAACAGATACAAAGTATGGGTTCCTTTTCAAAAGGGTCAATGGAACTGAGAATAGGGGACTATTGATTTACTGATTGTCTAAATTTGTTGTATATATATGTTTATGTTATTTGTATTTTGTTTGTCACAAGCATATATACATGCTTTCAGACAATAAAGATTATTGTATAGAATTAAAAACATGATACTTCATTAATAAAATAAATAATTGTATAGAGATATAACCCGAAAAATTAAATCATTGATTCCTGAATCCTGATAGGGGTAAATCCTGAATTCCCGTGAAAATAAAGGTCCAATTCCGACGTCCCGAAAAAGGTCCTTCCGCTCCTCTTTACATTTTCTGAGCTTGTCTAGAACAGGGCTTACATTTTCTGAGCGTGTCTAGAACAGGGTATTTTTTCCAATATTTTCTGTAAAGAAGAGGGCATGATTTGACAAGTGCATTCGGCACAGTTATACCCAAAAGGATGGCAAGTAACCCCCCACCCACCCACCCCCGGGATGGCAAGTAACCCCCCCATCCCCGCCCCCACCCCCAAAATTGACGTGTCCCCTCCCCCCTTTTTCCTATCTGTTCACTATTTCCACTAATAAAGTACAGTGTTAGGGTTCTTCTTCGTTTTGGTCAGACATATCAATAATAACCCTGACACAGAGCGTAAACGTTTTGTATACTTCAATATAATTGGGTACACTTGAAAAATAATTTACCTTTCTTCATCCACGTTATCTATACTTCGAAACTGGTAATCTCCCAAAAGATACCGAAAGTCCGACAGCGGCGTCATCTGTTATCATAATACGAAATGTAGCATATAGTGAATGTACAAATGTCGAATAAACAAATCACCCACTGTGCAATCATCGCGTTAGAAAAGTGCCGATTTACAAGTATAATACGCTTTTACAAATAACATAGAAGCAAAGATGCTATTTGACATCTACAAATTTACAGAATACAAATGTACAATTTAGCTAGTTACAAATTACAAATAAACATACCACAAATGTAGCACATTAAGATCAATATACAAATGTTGAATTGACAAATCACGAATTCAAGAATTACAAATATACATATCACAAATGTACAAATTACACAGTAACAAGTTACAAATTGACAATTTACGAATTAAGCATTTGAAATTACACAGCTACAAGTTACAAAGTGACAATTTACGAATTTAGAATTTTGACCCCATTGGCTTCCATAGACCTGTAGTTTATGATCCATGACACTGTGTTCAAATTTCAACAGTTTATGTTATATTCTAATAGAGATTTCCAATAAAATGACTTTACTCGACATAACCGACCTAACTCAACGTATATCGTCCTATTGCACCGAATCATGACGGAGGGGAGCATACACTGCATGCATTTTTTGCTCTTTGAACACGCATTTTTTGCTGATATAGACTTTATGTAAAAATCAACCCCAACAACTTTTTTTAATCTTTAAATATTTTGTTATTAAATTTTTTAATGATTTTATTGACAAAAATATTTTAATGGAATAAGTAAGCTAGCAACTTGTAATCAAATACACCCATCATTTCTTGTCATTTCACTTGACCCATATTTCAGTTCATCTCAACATATGAATTTTAAAAACTACTAAGTAGTCATTTAGCATGAAAATATTAAAATAATGAAATCCGAAGCGAGAAGGTTATCTCGTTTTTTGTTTTTATAAGTTTTAACGTTTAAAAAGTGGATTCTAACACACCCGAATGTAAAAGGTGTACGCGACTAACTTTAAAAAAAAAAATTTTTTCTATAATTTAATTCAAGATAATTTGACGTGGGCAGAAATTCATATCATTGATACATTTATCAAAAAGTACTTTTTAGTCTTTAACTATAATGATGCATTGGACGAGGTTTTGATCATGTATGCCTAAACGTGCATTCGCAGATACAGGGGTAGAGGGCGTACTCCCCCCTTTCGATCGCCAAGTAATTTTGAACATCTCACATTTTCCACGTTATCTATACAAATGTTTGGTATAAAATCGTCCAATATTTTTTTCGCGTTGCTTCGCTCGGCAGTATTAATTCAATTATCGTGAACTACGCCCTATCGGATATGTTCCTTATGTCGTAACTACAATACCCTTCCCTTTTCACGAATGTGACCTACCGAATTACACTATTTACCGGATTTGTAATAACATAAGCAACACGACGGGTGCCACATGTGAGCAGGATCTG